GTTTAGCTCCCACACCTAAGTGAGAATCTGTGGTATTTGTTTTTCTGTACCTGCATTAATTCACTTAGAATAATGGCTTCCAGCTTTATTCACGTTGCTGCAAAGAATGTGATTTTACTCTTTTTTATGGCTGTGTATCATTCTAGGGTGCATATGTACCACATTTTCTTTAATCCACCATGGATGGGCACCCAGGTGGATTCCGTGTCTTCGCTATTATGAATGGCATGGTGATGAACATACGCGTGCATATGTCTTTTTGGTAATTTATTTTCCTTTGGATATATATTCAGTAATGGGATTGCTGGGTGAAATGGTAGCTCTGTTTTAAGTTCTTTGAGAAACCTCCAAACTGCCTTCCACAGTGGCTGAACTAATTTACATTTCCACTAACAGTATGTAAGTGCTCCCTTTTCTCCTAAGCCTCACTAGCATCTGTCTGATTTTTTAGTAACAGCCATTCTAACTGGTGTGAGATGGCATCTGTAGTGTTGATTTGATGATTAGTGATGACAAGCATTTTTATATGTTTTTTGGCCACTGGTATATCTTCTTTTGAGAAGTGTTTGCTCATGTCTTTTGCTCCCTTTTTAAATAGGATTATTTGGTTTTTGCTTGCTGAATTTGTTAAGTTCCTTACAGATTTCTGGATTTAAAGCTTTACTAGACACATACTTTGTGAACATTTCCTCCCATTCTGTAAGCTGTCTGTTTAATCTGCTGATAGTTTATTTTGCTGTGCAGAAGCTCTTTAGCTTAATTAGGTCCCAGAATAGAGAACTCAGGAATGAAGCTGCACACCTACAGCCATCTGGTCTTTGACAAAGTTGATAAAAGTAAGCAATGGGGAAAGGACTCCCTATTCAATAAACGGTGCTAGCATAAGTGGCTGGTCATATGCAGAAGAATGAAACTGGCACCCTACTTTTCACTATATATAAAAATTAATTCAAAATGGATTAAAGATTTAAATGTAAGACCTCAAAATGTAAGAATCCTAGAAGAAAACCTGTGAAACACCATTCCGCACATCGACTATGGGAAACAATTTATGACTGCTGGCTATTTCAATGTTATCCTTCGTGAACTGTCTAGTAAGTCTCTTGTCCTTTTATTATTCTATTGGGCTGTCCATGTTTTGTTTATTTATTATTATCTCAACTCTTCTATATTATCTGGATACCCACGTTTGTTACTTATATGTGTTGAAAATCTTTTCCTACTCTGTAGTTTGCCTTTTAAATGTGTTCACGTCTTTTGACAGCATGTTATTAATTAATATAGTCATTTTTTTCAAATATTTATTTTAAGTCTAGTACTCTGTGTTCATTTTAATGAAGTATTTTCCTATTCCAGGTCACGATATTCTTCCATGTAATTGTTTAGAATCTTTACTGTTTTACCTTTCATATTTAGATTTCATTCCTGTTGGTATTTATTTTTGGATAAGGTATGTGGTAGGGCAGTAGCTCCCAACCCCTGGGCCACAATACCAGCCTCGCAGCAGGAAGTGAGCACTGAGTGAGCATTATGACTGCTTGAGCTCCACTTCCTGTCAGATCAGCAGTGGCATTAGACTGTCACAGGGGCATGAACCCAATCACACATGGCAGGATCTAGGCTGTGTGCTCCTTATAAGAATCTAATTGATCTGGGGTGGAACAGTTTCATCCTGAAACCATCTCTCCCCAGCCCCTAGTCTGTGAAAAAAACTGTCTTCCACGAAACCAGTCCCTGGTGCCAAAAAGGTTGGGGGCCGCTGAGTCCATGTTTCATTTTTTCCAATCGGTATTAAATTAAGTGTTTTTAAAACTGTTTATTTCAGGCTGGGTGCAGTGGCTCACACCTGTAACCCCAGCACTTTGGGAGGCCAAGGTGGGTGGATCACTTGAGGTCAGGAGTTCAAGACCAGCCTGGCTGACATGGTGAAATCCTGTCTCTACTATGAATACAGAAATTAGTTGGGAGTGGTGGCGCATGCCTGTAATCCCAACTACTCGGGAGGCTGAAACATGAGAATCACTTGAACCCGGGAGACAGAGGTTGCAGTGAGCCGAGATCGTGCCACTGCACTCCAGCCTGGGCAACAGAATAAGACTCTATCTCAAAAAACAAAAAACAAAATACTTTATTTCAATGACTTTTAACTTTTACTATGCAATGTTTAATCTTTTAATTTATATTTACAGAGTTTGCTACATAAATAAATTTTATTATTCCATCCTTTTGCTATTAGAATGACCATTATGTCTGAACGAGTAAAGCTTAAATTAACATACTTTAACTAACTATAAATTACTGTCATAATTTTGTATGTGAATTATATAATCTGTCTTTTAGGAAGCTATTTATTTCAGTTTGAGTTCTTTGCCACATAAGGCACATGGTCATTAATTGCTCAGTGCTATCTCAGTTATAACCATATGGCCATGGACTGGATATTTTCTGGTACTATGTGTATAACCTAATTTTCATATTTTCCTATTCAATGATTCCTTGTTTGAAATTATAAAGCCAGAGATCTTTATCATAGCATCTAAGCATATAAAAATAGGAAAAGTACTGATTAAAAAGGACACGTATGTCAAAATTTTAAAAAGCATCTTGTAACTTAAAAGAATAAAGAAAGGCTGGGTGTGGTGGCTCACGCCTATAATCCTGGCACTTTAGAAGGCGGAGGCAGGTAGATCAGCTGAGGTCAGGAGTTTGAGACCAGCCTGGCCAACATGGTGAAACCTCGTCTCTACTAAAAATGCAAAAATTAGCCAGGTGTGGTAGCCTGTAATCCCAGCTACTTAGGAGGCTGAGGCAGGAGAATTGCTTGAACCTGGGAGGCTAAGGTTGTGGTGAGCTGAGATCACACCACTGCACTCCAGCCTGGGTGACAGAGTAAGACTCTGTCTCAAAAAGAAAAAAAAAGAACAAAGGGGCCTCACATTTGTCCCATGATGCTAATGATTTTCTCTTATAAATCTCTAGTCAAGTTCAATTCTAACCACCTTGGGTATGAATCAATATCCGTTTAGTGTAAGCTTCCCTTTAGGGATGGCCTCTTAGGTATGACTATTGGCTATTTCCCTGACTGTAGTAGGGAGTGTAGGTTTCCCTTTAAATACTCCCTCCTAAAGGGAGGGAAATAGCCAATAGTCATATCTAAGGCTAGGTATGTATGCTTTTAAATGCTTTGATATAATTAGGGCAGTTATGAAGTTTTTCCTAGTACTTTAAATTTTTGTTTTTCTTCCCAGTTAGACTATTAGCAAACACAGGGATTTGTCTTATTTTCTGCTGTGTAACCCACACCATGACTGCTAGTGTCTGTTATGTAACACACTCAAAGGAATGTTTGTTCAGCAACTGAATGAAGGAACTTAGGAACTACGTAATACAGTACATATTCAGAGCTTAAGTGGCACAAATATCACTGCATCCTCAGAAAAATGAAAGCACCCTGGTCTAGATTCTGTGGGAGGCTCTTGGAATGGAGGAGGCTAAAATCCAAGCTTAAAGGTTTAGCTTATACTCAACTAGACTCAGACCACAGCAAGCTTAAACACACCCCCATACCCCAATTTAATTTTCTTTTATGTTGGCTAGGAATTAATAAGAGGGCTTCTGTAGTTCAACAAAGTAAAAAAAATGGTTTTTGGGAACCTAGCATAGACCTAGCATAGGAAAATGGGAAATAACATAATTAATTAATGTCCCTGTGTTATTAAGGGCTCCCTGGTAGTTCCCAGTCTCTGTCTCAGTGTAACCAAGTACAGTCTGCAGAAAGCCAAACAGATGGAAGTTTGGTTGCATTCTTAACCATAATGCTAAGGGAAGAGAAATGTTAGTTTTAGCATTTCAAAATTTTACTCAAAACGGAGAACAAACTTCTGTGTAACACACATATTAAAGAATAAATATGGTTTCTCGAGTAAAACAAATAATTTTTGCTACTGACAAGAGTGCTTTTCTCTGGAGATAACTGGAGACTGGACAGACAATGAGCTATCTGGGGGGAGTTTATTCTAATAATTTCATGACCTGACCAAGGCAAAGGCAAAGAACACAAGCTTAGTTTAAATCATTAAATACTTACAGAATACCGTAATATATAGGAATGCTGTAAAATACATGGGGAAGGGAATACGCTTTTACTGTTTAATTATTTTGACTTTGCTGGTATAAAGTAGGTGCATCTGGAAAGAGGATCAGCTCTTTATTTTGTAGTTGAATTTCTAGGACACAAAAGCACAGATGTCCTTTCCAACTCCATACTGCAGTAGACATCTGCTGCTGTTTTTGCCTTCCCAGCATTTATTCCTCCTTCCTTTGGTAATAACGGTCTGATTTTCCATTAGTGAGCACTCCTTTACCCTTTCAGTCCTGCGGTACAAGTGGCAGTGGCCCTCATCCCATCAAACCCATCCCCTGGAGGTTCACATCTGGGCATATTATCCAGACTTGGCCAATGAGAACATCACAGCCTCATAGACACAGGTGCTGGTTCTGAAATGGGCCAGGCCAGCGAGACATATTTGACTTCTTAAAAACACTACTGGAAAAATGGTAGTTTGTTTCTTGTGGGGGACACTGGTCTGATAAAATGTAAGCCTGAAATAATTCATGGCTGTCTTTGTTACCCTATGGACAGAGCCTTTGAGAACAAACCCAGCAGAGGAAAACCAAGCACAGAGATGAGGAGAGTCACAGTTGTAATCACCGGTGCCCCTAAGTCCAGTCATGACAGAAAGAAGATCCACCCTAGACTTCTCAGTTCCATAAGTGAAAAATTTCCTTTTTTTTGCTTAGACCAGTTTAAGGCATGATTCTGATATCTCTAACTGTACTGACTTGACTTTGCAAAAGCTGAGACCGAAACCCTCTGTAATTTCTGAGAATTGTCTTGACTAAAGTAAGAAACCATTTTCTCTTACCTCACTTTTAATCTAATGTAGGTGTGTCTACAATATCATTATTTTAAAAAGTAGGAAATGAAGCACAGAACTCACTGGTCCGCTTCCAGCTGTGAGGTTCTGGAGAGCTCCTAAGGATGCTTCCTGTGTGTAGTTTCGGATGCTCTTGGCGATCAAGGACAGATACATCCTTATCACGATGGAATGCCACAGCCACTCCACACCCTTGGGGTTGCTCTTCTCTTCTGGCATCGGCAGGTCCTGGTATTGCTGACCACACACAAAAGGAATCCAGAATTAATGCACGTCAGGTGATGGTTACAGTTTCACACTCAAACCAAGAGACCAGAAATACTGTCCAGACTCATAATTTGCACAAGAAGCCCTTGAAATAGAAAATTTAAAAGCAAATACATATAATTTCTTTCTAATCACTTAACTTTTAGCCCATGATGATTATTTCTTCCTAATAACACTCCACACCCCTAACTTGATATTTCACAGTGAGAGAAAATTCAGAAAATTAAGCATAGGCCATTCTAGAATGGTTTTCAGGCTGCTGTTGACCTAAAAGCTAAATTAGTCACAACCCTGTAGATAAGAAAAACAGGCCTGTTCCCTCAGAGTCTTGTGAAAGTGTCCAGGATAGTACCAGGGTTCTAAATTTACCAGCTGGTCTCCACAAATACCAAGATACTCAGAGAAGGAGAAGAGGTTACATTCCTTTAGTTTCCGTATCAGTATGGAAATAAGTATGTATTCCTTTCTATGAGGTTTGCTTTTAGTAGGTCCAAAGTTTGTTTTTAGAATGCCCAAAGCCAAATATCAGGGCTGACTTTAATAAAAACAATTTATATACAACTGGCTGTGCGTATTTAAGCTTATTTCCTAAGCTATAAGGCATAAAGCAGTATGGTTCAATGGAAAGCAATGAAACTCTGGAGCCAGACTGCCTGGGATTGTATTCAATCTCTTCCACTTATTTGCAAAATTATTCTGGGAAAATTACTCTTACTGTGTCTCTGTTTCCTCATTGGTAAATGAGGGTATTAATAATACACATCTCAAAAGTTGATGTAAGAATTAAAATAACTTAAAATAGTGCTGATATACACCAAGTACTTAGACAAACACACAAACATACACATTCTCTCTTATTCTTCTCCCCCTTTTCTCATTCTTTCAAAAACTTCCCAATATACCTCTTTTACTTTCCTGCTTCGACTGCCAAAACATCCAATACTTTTGTTGTTGTCAGTCTGGATATTCCGGTTTTGAATATAGATGTTCTGGGAATATTTCTCTGGGAGCTCTGCCTCCAGCTGGTAGGACAGGTTATGAAGAATGCATACACAATTCTCCGTGGCCTGAGGAAACAGGACATGAATATTGATCGTATGCATATAGGTATCTTTTTCAGGTGTGCTATCACAGGACATAGGCTTTAGCTCTTACAAGGTTTACCACATGCAACTGGGTGCGCTTAAACTGTGGGTTGCCTGGGGGACACGCAATGAACTGGCTAGAAAAGCTAAGGTTAGATCATGAGTGGTCAGGAGTGTGATGCTAAGAAGTAGAGCCTAAATTTCTTAAACAATGGAGAGTCTTTTTTTTTTTTTTTTTTTTTGAGATGGAGTCTTGCTCTGTCACTAGGCTGCAGTGCAGTGGTGCGATCTTGGGTCACTGCAACCTCGGTCTCCCAGGTTCAAGGGATTCCCCTGCCTCAGTCTCCTGAGTAGCTCAGACTACAGGCACACACCACCACACCTGGCTAATTACAATGGAGAGTCCTTTTAGTTTACTTTCTTTCCTTTTTTTTCCTAGATGGAGTTTTACTCTTATTGCCCAGAATGGAGTACAATGTTGCGATCTTGGCTCACTACAACCTCTGCCTGCTGGGTTTAAGTGATTCTCCTGCTTCAGCCTCCCAAATAGCTGGGATTACAGGTGTGTGCGACCACGCCCAGCTAATTTTTTTATTTTTAGCAGAGTCGGGGTTTTGCCATATTGGCCAGACTGGTCTTGAACTCCTGACCTCGTGATCCGCCTGCCTTGGCTTCCCAAAGTGTTAGGATTACAGGCATGAGCCACCACACCGGGCCTCTTTTTACTTTACTTTCTAGAGCGTGTCCAGAAGAACTCTGTATCTTAGATTCGTAACTTACTAGTCATGTTGAGTTGGAGAAGAGGAAGAGATACTGTTTATAGGGACCAACTAGGAGGCTATTGCAATAATCGGCATGAAAGATGCACAATGTAGGAAAACAATGGAAGCATTAGAGGGGAGTGGAAGAACTAAAGGCCTTTTCAGAGGTAGAAAGTACACGATTTGTTGCCCAGTGGATATGGGTGAGAGGGAAGGGAGGCAGTCCAAGATTACTCAGATTTCTATCTTCTTTTGGTGGATGATGATTATTAAGGATTATAGTACGAGTGCGGTGGCTCACGCCTGTAATCCCAGCACATTGTGAGGCTGAGGCAGTGGATCACCTGAGGTCAGGAGTTCAGGACCAGGCTGGCCAACATGGTGAAACCCCGTCTCTACTAAAAAATACAAAAATTAGCTGGGCATGGTGGCTCGTGCCTGTAATCCCAGCTACTTGGGAGGCTGAGGTAGGAAAATTACTTGAACCAGGACCAGGGAGGCAGAGGTTGCAGAGAGCCGAGACTGCGCCACTGCACTCCAGCCTGAGCTACAGAGCAAGACTCCATCTCGAAAAAACAAAGAAAAAAAATTAGCTGGGAGTGGTAGCATGCACCTGTAATCCCAGGTACTTGGGAGGCTGAGGTAGGAGAATTGCTTGAACCCTGGAAGTAGAGGTTGCAGTGAGCTGAGATCACTCCAGCTTGGGCTAGGCAATAGAGCAAGACTCTCTCTCAAAAAAAAAAGAAGATTATAAAGAGAAGAAGCAAGTTTGGGGATGAAAAATGAGATAAATTAAAATTCAATGCTGAACATGTAGTATTTGGTCTTCTTTCAAACAGCCATATAGTGTGGTTAGACAGACAGACACTGGAGCCTAGAAAATAGAAAAATAAGGCCATAGGTTTTAATATTTCTAAGCACGTATGGAGAATCTTAGGCTCAGCAAATGACTCAGTGAATAAATCTAAAACCAAGCGGCTATCTTAAGGATATTCTGGGCTGGGCGCGGTGGCTCACACCTGTAATCCCAGCACTTTGAGAGGCTGAGGCAGGCGGATCACAAGGTCAGGAGTTCGAGACCAGACTGGCCAACACAGTGACACACCATCTCTACTAAAACCACAAAAATTAGCCAGGTGTGGTGGCATACGCATGTAGTCCTAGCTACTCAGGAGGGTGAGGCAGGAGAATTGCTTGAACCTGGGAGGCAGAGGCTGCAGGGAGCTAAGACCATGCCACTGCACCCCAGCATAGGTGACAGACTGAGATTCCGTCTCAAAAAAAAAAAAATAGGAAGAATATTCTGAAACATCTTAGTAAGACAACAGGAAATTCAGTATGTGAGATGGTTAACTCTTGAATCACCTTGTCGTCTGGCTGATAATCTGCAATGGTTCCTCTGACATAATGGACCAGTGAGTCAATGAGTCCATCGCATCTTCTCATCGCTTTTCTCCCATCAGGGCCGGCAGAACTCATGTTTCTATCAGAAAAAAATAAACAAAAAGACTTATGTCTTAGGCTGTGTATCTAAAAGGGCTTTGTTTTTAAGTTTTATTTGATGCTTCTTCCAGGTGTTTGGAAACTGGCAAATTTGAAAAGTGTGACAGACTTGCCCTGGGGTCAGCAAATCATTGACTGACTAATGGATCAACTAGGAACACACTTTCTAAATATTTCCAAACAACACGTAATTGTGTCATATGTCTTTTGTCTACTTCACTTTAAGCACCACGATCAAAACATTATTTACTTAATCTTCATTCCATTTTTGAGTGTGGATATGAGGCAAATGTTTTGCAACTAATGACAGCAAATGGCACATTAGACATTATAATATACTGAATGCCAAGTCCCAATTTGGTCCACGTTTTAACTCTTAAGTAACTTAAAGTTGCTTGGGGCTCAATATCCTCATTTGTAAAGACAGTGTGTTGGATTATATTCTTAGTGGTTTTGTAAGTTTCAGTATAAACTGAAGTTTATATAAATTATTGACAAATATTAAATCAGATGCTCTAAAATATGATTATTTTATCACTAAAATGGCAGAAAGATGTTACAGAAAGCACGAAAGAGTTCGTAGTGTATAAGACTTTGGCCAAAAGTATGACCTATAAAAATCTTTACACTTAGTCTCTTTCTAATTTTGCTAAGCCTGACACCTTTCTATAAACAGTAACTAAACCTATAACTGGAAGTTGTTTGCTGATAGAGAAATGAAACTTATCAAATACAGGAAGGTAATGCATTTGGGGATTACAGTGCAGAATCTGATCATGTTTCTAGTCTGGTATTATTGTTACTACCTTCCCTTAGATTAAGTTTTTCTTACTAGCATTAACTATTTAAAAATATATTTTTCCGGGCCAGGCATGGTGACTCAAGCCTGTAATCCCAGCACTTTGGGAGGCTGAGGCGGGTGGATCATGAGGTCAAGAGATCGAGATCATCCTGGTCAACATGGTGAAACCCCATCTCTACTAGAAATACAAAAAATTAGCTGGGCATAGTGGTGCGTGCCTGTAATCCCAGCTACTCAGGAGGCTGCGGCAGGAGAATTGCCTGAACCCAGGAGGCGGAGGTTGCGGTGAGCCGAGATCGCGCCATTGCACTCCAGCCTGGGTAACAAGAGCAAAACTCCGTCTCAAAATATATATATATATATATTTTTTCCCCCAAAAGTGTCAACATCTCAGTCAACAAGAATGACAAAAGAATAGTGCCTTCAGGTTTTAAGAACGTGAGAACCACCTCTATTCCCAACTTTAATTGTTAAGAACTGTCCCTATAAAATGTATGCGATCAGTTTCTTTTACTGGTAGGTAGAATATCGAAAATACGTTTGGGACTTTTTGTTTATAATGTGTTAGTGTCATTTTGAACATCAAAAACAACTACAACTTTGAGGCATATTTGAGCCTTATTTTCTTCATCTTTAAAATCATATAGGCCATAAGTTGTAGCCACACCTGTAATCCCAGCATTTTGGAAGGCCAAGACAAGAGGGTTGCTTGAGCCCAGGAGATCGAGACCAGCCTGGGCAACATGGCTAAACCCTTTCTCTATGAAGAAATACAAAAAATTAGCTAGGCATGGTGGCATGTGCCTGTAGCCCCAGCTGGGAGGCTGAGGAGGAGGACTGCTTGAGCCTGGGAGGTTGAGGCTGTAGTGAGCCGAGACTGCGCTACTACAATCCAGCCTGGGTGACAGAGCAAGACCCTGTCTAAAAAAATAAAATAAAATAAAGCAACATAACATAAATGATTTCCAAAAGGCCTTTTGCCCCAAAATACTGCTTTTTAATGCATAGTTGTCAAAGAAACAAAATGTGCCTAGCGTTACATCAAGAACTAAAGGGAATGAGGGTAAGATACACAATATTACACCTTGCTTTCACTGAGATCACATCTATAGGTTGAACTCTGGAAATTGACAAAACCTGATTGTTTTAACCCACAAAAATAGCAATTTCATGATTCAACCTGACAGTTGAGAAGACTAACATATCTAAAACTAACAATATTGTAGCAATGTAATAGTTACTGAATTGATACAATGAAATTTTTTAACAAAAATCTCTCTCTGACTCTCATTTGAACTTCTACTTCCTTATTTAATTTTTACTGTACCTGAAAAACTCAGACACTTTGTTCACTGGTTTACAAGCTGGAAATAAAACAATGCTTTTACTTAACTTTTTTCAAAGAAAAGATCATTTAAACCAAGATCCTCTATCTACTACTTTGTAAGCCCATTTGGGAGGCTGAGGCGGGTGGATCACGAGGTCAAGAGATTGAGACCATCCTGATTAACATGGTGAAACCCCGTCTCTACTAAAAATACAAAAAATTAGCTGGGCACAGTGGCACGTGCCTGTAATCCCAGCTACTCAGGAGGCTGAGGCAGGAGAATTGCCTGAACCCAGGAGGCGGAGGTTGCGGTTAGCCGAGATCGCGCCATTGCACTCCAGCCTGAGTAACAGGAGCGAAACTCCATCTCAAAATAAAGAAAAAAAGAATCATGGGATTTCAGAAGCTTGACAGAAACTGAAAAAACATCTTTTTCAGTCTTCTTATTTTATATACAAAAAACCAGAAGCCAAAAGAGTTTCTGTTACTTTTCCTGGTGACAGCAAATTAGTGGTAAAGTCAGAAAGAGGGCTGTTTCTTTATTCTGCACCCAGGGTGGCCTAGAACAGAGCAAACCCCATCTAGCATGCATTCAGTCTGCAAACACCATATGTCCCCAACTACACAATGTTATCCTATGTTTAAAAGCTTCCCTTTGGCCTTTTTGAACTCTGGCTTGGATAAATGGGAGCAGTTTAAAATTGCTTTGACAAATTGAAAGGTCTTTCTTATGGGCTAAGCCCACTACATACCTTGCAGTTGGACGACAGCTTTGTTTAACTCCAGGGTGTTTATTTTGGGTTAGAATGGTAAGTCAGGTTGGCAGTACTGCCAGTTCACAAGTCCTAACTGTTGTCTTGCTGTCTGGTATTATCCAGACTCTACTTGCTTGAAATGGGACTTATCAGGGGTTACTGACAGTTGATACCTTTGTTGACAGAAAGTACATGGAATCCCATTGCTTTAGTATTTGCTCCTGCATATCAAAAATAGTTCCCATCTTACTCAACTACACAGAAATACGAATGATAAGGGCAGATTACTTAATATGACTGCATCCATGAACAGAAGTCATTAGACAGAAAGTAATTTGTTACTGCGCCACTCTGAAAATAATGAATAATTATAGAAAATGATATATTCATCTTAAAGTATTTTTTTTTAACAGCTAGTACTTAAGCTTGTGGAAATCAGAAAGTTAACATGGCTCCCCTTAGGCAGAATTGATCTTTTTTACAACGTATCTCTTGAATCCTAAGAATTATTTATTGATTAGTTTCCCATACATTATCCAATGAAGGCTCAATAGAAAAATATCTCAAAACTATAACTGAAATATACTGAAACAACTACCTTATTGAAAATTAAAAGAGAATGAGCATACAAACATGGGAGTTAATAAAAATTGCTTATCGAAGTTACCAATAGAATATATTGAAAATGTGCAATTTAGCGCCTGTCATTTGGATTGGATTAAATGATGGGTTTACTTCCCCTGGTGTCATGAAGCCTAAGTCTGAGTAAATATCTGGGTACCTTTAAGAAAACTAAAACTGTATACCGTTATATACTGAGATTTAAAAACGGGTCCTTGGAGTAGAGGTTGAAGGCAAGGGGCTGGGGTCATAGGAGACGGGGGAGTGAGGAAGGAGACAAACTATTCTTCACATAAAGGCAGGAATTATTTGGAGTTCTTCACCTCCACTGGTCCCAAATGGGAAGACAACAGTTTGACTTGCAGCCAGTGCTTAATACTGGGAAGAATCTTTCCTGCAATGTGACTTGTAATGGGGGAAAAAATAGAATCTGAACCTCTGTGTGTCTCTGAAATTGTCACAGAGCTTCACATATTTAGGAGGATTCAGATGTTTTATCAGACAGCAAATCTGTGACTTTTGACTCCCTCTAGGACTTCTTATCTCACACATTCCTGAGTGTCACAGTGAAAGAGAGAAAAGAAAACAACACCCTGGACCTTGCTGGAATTAAAGGGAAGAATGGTATGTTAATGGTTCAGACTGACAGTGTGACTAAATCTTAGATTAATATGGTAAACCAAAGAATGGGCAGTGACAAATTAAAAGAAAAGCTGCAATTTAGTGTTTGCACTAGACATTATGGTAGACAATTTACAAATAGCATGATCTGTAATTTTCACAAAATTCCTGAAATTAGGGTACCCTAGAATTTCATTCTGGGAAATTCTGACCTGTGATTCTCATTTAAAATCAGAATTAACTGCTCTAACAGGACTGTTACTGGCTCTTCCATATAAGGTGGGATATAAGGTAGTCTGCAGGTAGCTATGTGCAGGGATGCTATCAAATATGCCTAATTGACCAGCACTGAACAAAGGAAGTTTGTTACAACGCAGAACATCCAAGCTCAGTGTATAGTGCGTGGTCAGCTGCCCTGGGGAAACAATGAACCGAAGGCCATGGTTAAAGTGAAAGGCTACAGTTAGTTTCCAGGACATGAAAATGGCGGGGAACAATAACATCAGAGTGCATCTTTTCAAGACACTTCACCACCAGACAAAATCAGTAACTTAGGAGGCAGAACTTTTTTTCTTCTGTTTTTTTTTTTTGAGATGGTCTCACTCTATTGTCCAGGCTGCAGTGCAGTGGCATGATCATGCCTCACCATAGCTTCAACCTCCCGGGCTCAAGCAGTGTACCTACCTCAGCCATCTGAGTAGCTGGGACAATAAGTATGCACCCCCATGCCCAGCTAATTTATTTTTTGTAGAGACAGAGTCTCACTATGTTGCCCAGGCTGGTATTGAACTTGCCTCATGTGATCCTCTTGTCTGGCCCCCAAAGTGCTGGAATTACAGGTGTAAGCCAATGTG